ATTTACACTACCACCTCCTGAGGTTTTCGGTTTTTTTTTCACAAAACTCCTTGATGTTTTGGAAATTACATGAATAACCCCTGAGGTTTTAAATTGTTTTCACAAAACTCCTTTTCATTGATTTTTCATCCAAAGATTTATGATTTTATACCCAAAAAAAAATTCTCCAAATGACAAAGTTGGCCTTTGAGATTAGATTGCATATACTTCATTGAGGTTAATTTTGTCATTTGCATAATTTTTTTTCCAATGAAATCATCAATTTTTGGACAAACAATCAACAAAAGGGGGTTTTGTGAAAATAAACTAAAACCTCAGGGGGTGTTCGTGTAATTTTTGAGACCTGAGGGGGTTTTGTGAAAACACAAACAACCTCAGGAGGTGTTAGTGTAAATAACTCTTCAAAGTTTTCATTGTCTCGATATTATCGATATTATAGCAATATTTTGGCCAAATATTGTTGAAATGTGAGAAATTATCGACGTCGATATTATTTTCCGATATTATCATCGATATTATCAATATTTATACGATATGTGTATGGATATGTTCCAAAATATCCTTGACCCGAAAAAAACGATAATATCCTCAATATTTCATCGATATTATGGATATTTTAGATTATGTTCTTGAAGAATTGGAAATAAGAAATGGATGCCAAACAAGTATGTTATCATTACTGGAGACAAAGTTCTTGTTTCTACTTGATATGGCAGAAGATATGATGCTTCATATAACATTTGATATTGAATATGCATCTTTCAGTGTCGTCCTTTTCACTGTTTCCCTTTTCTGCTGTTAGCGTATCAGTTAGGTCCCTTTTAATTATTCCACGTATATTTTCTTGTACATATACTTGTTGTTGGCAATAAATTTTCAGAAGCTACAAGAGAAATTAATTTGCTCATATTCTAAGATTAGTCAATTCTTAAAACTTAGGAGTATATTTTTGAGCTGAGATAAATAGAGAACTAAGTATGCTCCTTATCATCTCCCAACAATGAGTTGAAGTTGAAGATTTAGAGAAAGAATGAAAGCGGTATCAGAAAATATAGAGGTGAGATCTGTCCAAGGTATATGCCATACTCTCTAAAATGTTTTGTTCCTTCTATTATGAAGCTTACAGGATTATTCACAATGACCATTATATGATATTGCAGGTGATTGTGGAAAGGTTCACTACTACAAAAAGTGCAAAAGACGACCAGAAAACAACGACGGTAGGTCAAAAAACCGTTGTTGTATTTTAAAAGATGACGGTTATAGAAACTCGTGGTAGATACATAACTTAAACACCTAAAAAACCGGGATACGCATAGATATTTTTAAACAATGACGCACCAAATTAAAAAAGCGTCGTCTTATTACAAAGGTTTTATTCCGAGTTAAAATCTGAACCTAAAAACAACGACTGCAGCCAAGGATGAAAATATCGGTGATACAGATATTATCGGGCCTTCAATTTACGGATATTTCGGGGGATATATCGATGTCGTTTTAGGTATCGGGGAAAATCGACAAAAAAGACAGACATTGGCTTAAAAACATGGAATTTTGAATGAAACTTTCATAGATATTAAGCATATTATCAATGAATGTATTGAACAAATAAAATTCAAAATATACTGAGTATAAGATATGCATATGATGAAATCTACGTGTATATAATGTTCGATGAAAATCCTGAAAATAAATACAATTAGACTTAACACAACAAAGACAACATTATTCAAACATAACCCAACCCAACCGATTAATACATAACCCAAAATTATATTACAAGAGTTAGACTTAATGATAAAGGAAATGAGAGATAGAAGATTAGGCGAAAAATAAAATCAAACACACAAGAAACCGAGCACCCAGAGAGAGGAGGGGAAGAGCCAAAGATAGCTGAAATGACTCAGGAGAGAAGAAAGGAGAAGCTACTAAGTATTAGAGCTTGGTTTTTGACATTGATTCAGTGGCTGGGACCTATGATTACTTTCAAAACTGAAGACAAATCTCTGGGTTATTTGTCTAGTATCGGGAAACATCGGTAAATATCGAGGATATCAGAGGTTATCGGGGATATATCGTCGATAAGGGGGAAGAAATAGGCTTAACCCCTTGTATCTGTATCGCCACCTAAAAAAAGGGATATATCGGCCGATATA